TTATGGTAACAAAATGCCATAAACTGGATGGCTCAAGAGAATAGAAATCTATTCCCTCATAGTTCTGGAGACTAGGAGTCCAAAATGAAGGTGTTAACAGGGTTGATTCTTTTGGAGGGCATTAAGGCAGAAATCCATCCATTGCCTCTCCTTACCTCTGCTGACAGACAGAAATTCTTGGTGTCCTTGTGTTGTAGATGCATGTCTCAAATCCTTTTCCCCCTCTCTATGAGGTATTCTCCCCATATCATTGTACTTTCACATGCTGTCCTCTTATTTGGACACCAGTCATAGTGTGTTAGGGGCCCATCCTACTCCAGTATGAGTTTATCTTAGCTAATTATATCTGTAATGACCTTATTTCCAAATAAGGTCACATTCTGATGTACTGGTTAAGGACTTCAAGATATTAGTGGGTAACAGATGGGATCGAAAATTGGTTATATCTTTTAAAATAGAGTTGACCCTTGAACAACATGAACTGCAGAGGTCCACTTTTAGGGGGATTATTTTTCTTTCCTGGAGTTCCACAATCATGGATTCTGGGATTTGGACATCTACAATTGGTTGAATCCATGCTGTGGAACCCACAGATTTGGAGAACTTTAAGTTATATGCAGATTTCCAGCCTGAGTTCACGTATCAGCTGTTATCTGATAGTTTAACTTTTTTGGAATGGCAGGTCAGTTAGCACAATGACCAATTCACTGACTAACTGTATGATATGTTTGTTAAATGAATGTTGCCACTAAGAGAGGCAACTCACCAAGAGAGGACTCAAAATCGATCTAGTGAATGGGTCAGATTATGACTGCTTGCCACATAGTAATTGGGCTTTAAAAGTTCTGAAAAGAGAGAAATCTCTCCCAATTCCCAGTTATTGAGATATGTAGTTTATGGGAGAATGGGGATCATATGGGGAATTATTATTTCCATTTAATAGCAAATATTTAAAAAGCAAATATTTTCCCTTAAAATTTCATCTCAAATGAAATTATGTTTTATACTTTGGATTGCTTTTAGACCAAGTCAGTTTGTAAACTGCTAAGTGCTAACTCTAGGTACCTTTGGAAAATACCTTATGAACTAATAATCGAATTTGACAAAAAATGTCGTTTTCTGGATGTCACAACTCCTCTTTAAAAGGTTTTGACACCATGCATAATCATACCAAGGTAGGAGAGAATATTCTGGAGTAATAAAAACCCCAAAAAGTCAGTGACTTAAAACCACAATTGTTTACTAGCTGCTCACAATGCCCATCTGAAGAACACCAGGTGAGAGAAACTCTGATGTCCCTCAAGGATCCAGGCCGAAGGAACACCGCCGGGACATGAGCAAAAGGCACTCTTGCTCTCAAAGTTTTCACCTAGTATGATACATCATTTTCACTCATATTTCATTGGACAAAGCAAGTCATCTAACATACTTGGCTTCCAAGAGGAGTGAGAAATGTAGTTCTTCATGTTCTCAGGAAGAGAACTGGAATATTTGGATAGGCCCAATGTCTACCGTGTTTGGCAGATGGCTATCTAAAAGCAATTGTGATTGGAAATATGCCAAGTTAGTAGTATAGAAAAGGGATCACGATGTCAGTTGGTGAGACTTGAGATTTTTGGTAGATTATCAAATGTTTTCTTTACTATATTCTTGCCAGATTAGCTGGTATTTATATTCACTTTTTTTCCTTCAGGAATTATGTAGTGATTTGTATAGCTCGGTGCTCTAAAAACTCTTCTTTCTCAATTTCCTTTTAAAATTCTGAAAAGTTACAGCTGTGAATGAGTTCTCTAATCTAGATTCTTCCTTCATGTTTTATTTCTAGCCACTTGCATCTAGGACTTAAAAAAAAAAAGAACCACCTCTGCTAGAGAATTCCATTAAAAGTCAGTCTGACATTCAGTTGTATAAATTACATTTTACTTCATACATTTAGGTAAATTATTTAACTAACCTATATCTACTTAAGACTCAACTTCCTAGCCTATGAAGTCAAAAGATAATTGTTCTTACCTCATTGGGCATGTTGAGAATTAAATGAAGTGGTAATTGTAAATATTACCTAATATGAATATTAGCTGAGTCTTATACAATACTTATTAGATGCCAGTCCCTGTTCTAGTGATCCATGCAAATTGGCTCAATTAATTCTCACAGTAACTCTGAGAGGTAAGTATTATTATCCCCACTTCATAGATGAGGGAACATCTATGAAGCACAGAAAAGTTAAATAGCTTACACAGTGTCACCTAAGTAGTCAGTCAATAAGGCAAAACCAAGCAGTTTGTGCCAAAGACCTTGAACTTAACCTCTGCATTCAGTGCCTAGAACATAGTAAACTCTCAAAACTTATTTTTATTTTAGTAATATTATTATTATTACTTAACTAAAATGTGGCCCTTTAGTTTTCTTGTGGAAAATGTTGAAACCTCTTTTTTCATGAAAAATGAGATATTTGATTAAAATGCATCAAAAATATCATTGGCACTGAAATTAAAAATAAACCCTAAGATATATTGTGGTTTTTGTCTGGTGTGTCCTGGTGTTCCTCTCATTCTCTCTCTGTGTCCCTCCCACACACCCTGCCTCTTCTTTTATTCCTCCCCGTATTCTCTTAGACCACTGGCTCTAGGGAAATCCAGCTGTCACTATATGAAGACACTCAGGCTGCTCTCATGGAGAGGAACTAAGGTCTCAGGCACTGCCAAAAACCATGTGCTCAAGCATGGAACCAGATGACTACAGACAACCATGGTCCCAGCCAGTAGTCCCAGTTCTTTGACTGAAATGTCATGGAGCCCTCGAGACACCCAGCTAAGGTGCTCCCAGATGCCTGGGCCCCAGAAATGGTGAGATAATAAAATGTGGCTTTCAGATGCAAAGGGTAGTTTGCTAATTAGCAGTCTCCAACTAAAACAGATATTCATATCTGGAAGTTGGGTACTGTTCTGATGAAAGCCAAAATGTGAGAGTGGCTATTTTAGAGATTGTTTTGAATCCTTTCTTTTTCTTTTTTTAAAGATTTATTTATTTATGCATATAAGAGCTGGGGTACAGGCCAGAGATGAGGAGGGTGAGAGGACTCACTAGAGACAGAGTGGGGAACAGAACAGGCAGACTGACCGAAATACACTGCTGAGGGGAGCAGTGGGCGAGACAGCAGTGGGCGGACAAAGCAGACAGAGGTCTGCTTTGCCATGTGGGTTTCTCTCTGGCCGGCCAGGGATCAAACTCGTGCTGCAGAGGCTGCGGACTGCTTCCCAGTGTGATGCTTAACCCCTTGTGCCCCCAGGGAGGCCCGATTTTGAATCCTTTCTAATTCATGTTTATGAAATGTTATAATTTTGATTTTTAATTTTTATAATCAAAATAATAGAATTATTTCTTGCAAAGGTATTGGCTTGGAAACTATTTCTATGAGAAATCATATCTCAGTTCATTAAAATAAAGACAAAATTCACCTTCAAAGAAAACTCATTTGTCTTTTAAGAATAGCATTTCAGAGAATCAAAGAAATTAGAGGTAGGAAAATCAATTAAAGCTAATCTACCAGCTTGTCAGAAAAGATTGCTTTCTACAAAATATATTCTCATGTTTTGTTCAAGTTAATTTCAAATGTCTCAAGAGATAGAACTCTTGTTATATCCCTTTGAAGTCTTTTCTTTTATCTAATTGACCTTATGGAGAACCTTTTTTCCTAATATCTAACCTCCACGTTAAGTATTTATTCGGTGCTGTTATTTTAATTATATTTCCTTTTCCTATACCAATGTTCCTTTCCCTCCGAAATTCGTTTTTATATTCTCAGATATTTTGAAGGAGCTGTGCTTTATTTAACCTAATGACAGATGTTTACTTACAGTAATAATCTTTCAAATCAGAGAGATTTTTAGGTCTTTTTAAAAATTTTTTCATTATCCATTTCAGTCCCGCTCTCTTTCTACTCTTCTCTCAATCCTTCTGCCGCTTTCATTCTCTTGCTCTGCCTTCCTCTCTCTCTGCAGTCCTTGCCGTGAGGCACATAAAAGTCGAGGTGCTTGGCAGGAACAAGTACAGAAAGGAAACTATAAATTTCTGACTTGGTTGAGGAGATTATCAACTCCTCTGCCAATTAGCATTATATTTTTTATTTATCTCTAGTCTGAGGGAAGCCTTTCTCTTAAAAGTAATTGGTTCTTTTTAAACCTCTTATCATTTTAGCATCATTCATTCCGATTCCCTCTTCCTATTTAATTATGCTGATGTGAGTTTAAAATTACATATTTTTCTATGTTGAATGTTATATTTATGGTGTACCTTTTGAACATGAACAAAATATTTAAGTTCTCTCCCTTACCTGTTTAATTATTTGTGAGACACCATACACGTTGGTACTCTGGATTCAACTTTCTACTGTCTGATGATGAGCAAAATAAAGAATTTAGGAAGTAAAGGAGATTGCTCGAGCATAAGAACATACATTCTTTATAGCCACAGGCATTAGTCAATAAAATGGCAGTGTCTGCTGTACCAACTCTCGGTAATCAGGGCAGAGACAGAGTGTGATGAATTTTATTGTGTGTTTTGTGTTCATAAATTGAGTTTCTATGAATTCCTGTATAGAGTCTTTTCATTATTATTCAAGAACCTGGGAATAAGTGTTTATAAAATTTACTAAGTACATTTTTCAACAGCAAAAATTTGCAGAAAAATTTAATTGGCTTTCTCCTCTTCTGAGATAGCTACCAGGGCTTTAAAAATAAAAGCATACTACCTTTCAGTAGAGTCATAACATCTCATTAGGTAACAGCCTAAGCTCTGGACTGAGATTGCTTTGTTCAAATTCTGCCTCTGACTTTTAACACCTGTGTGACCTTAGAAAAGTAACTTAATTCCTCTATGCCTCAGTTCTCTCTGTATAAAATGGTGATACAGATAAGTTTACTTAGTTAATAAAGTGCTTAGTATAGTACCTTAATAAAAGCTAATTTTCTTTTTTCTTTCCTTTATTCACTAAATAGATCTTTATCAAGCATCTTCTGTGATAAACTTGAAACAAAGCAGCAGCAAGTATCAAGTAACAACAAAGAATTATACACCATATAATTTTATGTAAGAGGTGCAACAAAAGCATGTGACAGGCTCTGGAACCAAGAAGTGAGCCATTAACGGTGGTAGACTCAAGGAAGAATCTTGGACCCTGAAGACAGAAGGTCTTGAAAAGTGGACAAGGTGTGGGAGTGTAGGGGCAGGATGACACGGAGCAGGATCTCTATGATCCGAGCATATGGGGTAAAGGAGGAGTGAGTCCTGGAGCCCTCGGTGGCTTTTGCAGACTTTTATTGGAATTTACCAGGTACAGGGCAGGCAGGGGTACTGGGGGGGCCAGGAGGCCTGCCAGCCTCCCAGCAAGTCTTCACTCTCTCTGGGCTCTCCGGTGTTCTCTCCTGGCCTTTTCTTCTCTTCTCCTTTCGCTCTTTAGTTCTCTTCCACTCTCTGCTCTACTGGTATCCCCGTGACACCGCTCTTACAAGCCCAGTCTTAGCTCAGGTGTACACGCTTAACGCATGCCCACATCCTACTCCAAGTGGCCACCATCAGGCATGTATTCCGGACCACAGGGTTCTATCACCAATCCTAATGGAGGGAGGGCAAAAAGCCTGATACTTTTTATTTACCCTGCAGGGAGGTATAAATGGGTCTGTTTGCAAAGCAGGGGGTATATCCCAGGCAGAGAGGACAGCATGAACAAAGGCACCAAAGCACTGAAGGACATGATGTTTGCCAATGAGTGATTAAGTGTAGGTAAAGCATTATGGGGTGACAGAGTGGAGGAAGGGAAAGACCCTCTTCATATTTTTGGTGAGTCCCCTAAAGTTGGAGTTTGGGTTGTGGGAGGGTCTCACTTCACAATATGGAACCTGAAGGTGCCTGGGGCCGGGGGATTGGTAGTGAACATTTCCTCTTTCTGCCTTTTACCTTCTAAGGCATGGACCTGTGACCTTGAATATTCCCACCTGTGATATTGATTAGAGAGAATGTAACGCTAATTTGCAAGGGTTAAGAAACAGGGGTCACAGCAGGTGACTGGTCTTTGTCACTTGTGGCCAGACTGCTGCAGATTCTGCCCCTCTTCTGAGTCAGGCTCTCCCTCTTGTGCTGTTGCAGTGGGCTACCTGACAACCTGCCCGTAATTTTCTACCTATGAGGGTTCGTCTTGCTTATAGCCAAGAAATGACTTAAACAACACAGGATTTAATCAGCTGGATTTGTTATTGGCATTTCCTAAATTTTGTTCAATGAATATGAAGTACTTGTAAAAAACATTTTTCATTTAAATATAAAACTGAAAGTGTTTAAAGTAAAAAATTTATGTAAAATGTAAAAAAATCCCACATGGAAACAAATGGGTAAGATGAATAAATGATCATAAATATAGTGATTTAATGTGTACTGAATGCTTATCTATAAGTCAGGCACATTATGATGAGCTTTATGTGCATTATGTCATGATATACTTCCAACAACACTGCTTGCCAACACTAAGTATGTGGATTTGTAAAACTAGCATGTATGTAACACTCACGACAGGTACTAAGTATGTAATACTAAGCACATGATGTGGCTATCAACATTTTAGGAAAGGAAATTGAGGTTAGGAGAGAATAAGTCACTTCTAAACCACTAGTGAGATGTTGTTTAGCCAGTATTTAAAATCCCATAGCCTACAACATCTAACTCTTAAATCTATGGCATCACAGATGAGCACGTGACTACTTTTCCCTAAGACGTTGACTAAACTTTTATTTATAAAAGAGGTAATGTCTGAAGCTACACCTTAAAGAATAAGTAGGATTTTGTCAGGTAAAGAAGATATAAAAGGATGAATACATACTGGGGAGGATGCGTGCAAGGGCAGAGATATGAAGAGCTGTTTTGTTTTCTAGGAATCTCTTGTGGAGCTGAGGCAGGAGTTTAGAGAGTTATGAGCTGGGGAGAGGGAAGGTCAAAGGGAAGTTGGTAGGGGAGGAATCCAAATGTAGGCTCAAAATGGGACAAGCGCTTGGTCATGTGATCCTTAGGTTTGGTAGTTATGTTTTTAATTCTTAAGCCACTGGAAGTCATCAGTGGTTTTAAAGGAGGGAAATGACATCATTGGCATCTTTTTTTAGAAGGCTCACTCTGGTGTAGCATGGAGGAGGGACTTGGACTGAGAGTGATGGGTGTCACCAAGGTCAAGTTAGCAGAATTCTGAAATAGAACATGAAAAGCCAGCAGGAGTGGGGAAGGAGAGGAGGGCCCAGATTTGAGCGGCATCCCTGAGGTGTGAACAACAGAGCTTGATGACTAATTGGATGTGGGTGGTTAAGGAGGAAGGAAGAATTGAAGATGACTGAGATTTCTAGTTTGGAAAGCTGAGTACTTGGTGATGTCATTAACTGAAATAGGAATGGAAGGAAATCTATGTGAGGCCTACCAGAAGCTTCATTTAATCCTAAACAAAGCCAAGAAGAGTAAGATACCCATTTTACAGATGAGAATGTCAAGTTTCAGTAAGGTTAAATAACTTGTCTAAGATCACACAGAATGTAAATTTAAAAGGTGAAATTGAAATGGGTCTTATTCTAAAGCCCATATATTTCCATTCCAGTGTAGTATTCTACACACTGACAATCATATTGGTTTAGAAAACATAGGGTTGAAACTCTGGGCAAAGGCAAAGGTGGAAACATGGGCGTCCCAGGATTAGGAGAGGGACTGAAGGCTCACACTATTGGGATAAGGACTAGAGCATCACTGTCCAGTACAATTTTCTGTATAATTAAAATGTTTTCTCCATGCACTGTCAATATAGTAGCCATTAGGTTATTTGGCTATTGTGCACTTGAAATGTAGAATTTGAAATTTTAAATCTAATTTTAATTAGTTTAAAACTAAATAACCAGCTGTAGTTCGTGACAAACATTTTGGACAGTTTAGGAGTACAGGCACCAGCCAGGCATGGAGAGGGTTCTTTCAGAGGGGAACTTTGCCAATATACTCCCCTCACCCCCATAATCACTGGGTATTTAATCACCTGCCTTATATCTTTGGTTAAGATTAGTTGTAAATTTGGGGGCCACCATTCATCAGTAAATAAGGGGTTCTTTCCTAGTGCGAAGTTATTTTACCAAGTCTTGTCCTTGGAAGGAGAGTAAATACAACTCTCCACTTTCTTTGTTATGAAACAAAAATCACAATCATTTTCTCTGTACTTAGACTTTCTGTTGGGAGTGTTATTTAATGCTGCAGGCAAACTGCCTCAGTTCAAATCTCAGCTCTGCTGCTGATTGCACTTTGCTTTGAGTTAGTTACTGCATATTCTTAAACTTCACTTTCATTACCTGTGAAATAGGGATAACAATAGTACCTTTCTTATAGCTTGGTTGTGAGAAAACAGCCAGTATCTGGCACATAGTAAGAACCCAGAAAAGGTTATTCTCAAACTAGTACGTTGTTGTGATGAGTTTGTACTTTGCACCTCTGTATTTTGACATTTACTTAACTCTATTTTTGCTTAAGTGGAAGGTGTTCTCCCAGATTTCTAAATGTCAGAACATTCTCCAAAGAAATACACATTCATCAAGATAAAAAGGTAGATAGGGTTCTGGAAAGTGATCTTAGTGCAGGCAAGAGTTTTGCAGGTATTTTTGTTCTTCACTTCGATTTTAAAGTATTTGAAATCACTACAGAGACAATTCCACAATCCTGCTATTTTGTTATGATCATTAAAATTCTCTTGGTTTAACCTCAATATGCCTCATGATTTAACCTCCATATACCACATGAGCAAGCAAAAATACCAGAGGCTCTACATGTTGATACAAAAGATTTCTTGATGTCTGGAAGTTCTGAAGATTTTCATCCCTCTTTAATGGAAGCATGTAATGCCTAGTCTCTGGTTATCTTAGAAGTGATTGGATTGGTTGTACAGTGATTGGCTAGATCAAGGACTCTTTAAAGACCAATGACCTCTGAAGTGGGACCAAGTAATAGGATCCCAATTGTTGCCACTGATTTTGTACTTTATAACCTTCGGATGGGGAGCGGTTGTAGCATGGCCTTGTACTCTGTATGTATAGACAAATTTTTTTTCCCCATTGGATGAGAGAGTCGAGAAATACGTGTTCAAGTGCCAATTCGGCAGCTGATTTGGTCTATTAAGTAAGGAAAAGTCATTTTTCCCTATAGACTAAGGAGAGACAGACATCCTGTGTAAAATCAGAGTTGATCCGGACTTGATTCTAGAATGATCTAAGTATCCCTCCAACTAAAATTCCTTGAATCTGCCTTTTCTTTCCCCTTTAGCCTTAAAGGACTTACAGAGGTGATTTTTTACATCTGTGCTATTGTAAACACGCTCTTGGAATATTCTTGGAATATTTCATTTCCTTGGAAAACAATTCATGAGTGAGTCAGCATGTAGGGGAAAAACCCACTCACAATGGACATCAAAATTGCATGAGATGGTGAAACGAGAAATGATTTTCTTTGCAAACTGAATGATGTGGTACAGAGAAACCAATTACTTATTTATAAAATGAGTGAGCGGTGGAAGGTTTTATGTGGCAGAGCTTACGTGCTATTACATATTTAGCAAGACAGAGAAGGTATCAGGGAGTTGTCTCCACGCTGCCTTCAAACTGCTATTAATATAAACGTTCCTCTCGATGAGGGAGAAAGAAAATGAGTGTCGGGCGGAGGACGAAGCAAGCAAGCAAGCAAGCAAGCAGGGCAGCCTCAAAGCTTCCCCTGCGCGCCTTCCTCACCCCCACCCCGGCCGCCCTCAGGGGAAATTCACAATTAAGGGAATTTCCTCCCGCAGCCGGGAGGGCTCCGCGCCCATGTCCACGTCACGATTAGGGCCGCCAGGGATTCTGCTGGCCCCACGGTGCCTTCCCGGCCCCTCCCGCGGGTCTCCCCAGGGGGCGGCCGAACGTCCCCCTTCGCCCCCGGACCTAGCGGGGCGGCGAGGGCCCCGGCACCCGGCGAGCGCCGCGGCGGCCGCGGGAGGGCGCGGAAACGTTTCCTGGGTGAGCGCGGCGCCCGCCCCGCTTCCGGGAGGCCGATTGCATCAGGTGAGGCGCCCGGCGCCTCCTCGGCCCAACCTGGCGGCCACTGCGCCTGCGCGCGCCGCCCCGCCCCGCCGCCGCGCACTCCACCGCGGGTTTTCCTCGCGGTCGCGGGGAGCC